CTGCGTCTTCAGCGCAACGCAATGCCATTACAAAACAATGCGACTGCAATGCAATACAATGAAATGCGATTGCAATGGGCTGCGATTGCAATGCAGTGCGTTTGCAAGTCAGCGCAATTCGATTGCAATGCAGCGTAACGCGGCTTCAACGCAATGCGACTGCAATGCGACGGGGGGAGTTCAACCGGGCGGTTGTTGCAGGGCGATTGCAGTGCAAAGCGAATGCAACATTGCAGCGCGCGGCGGCATCGGCACGCATCTCTTCCCCACGGGAGGTGGGTGTGGTGGTGTGTGTGTGTTGTGTCCTCGGGGGGGTGGGCAAACAAAAACGAAAAACAAAGAACATGCTGATTTGTCAACAAGATTCCCCCCCACCCACACACGCACACCAGCAACACCAGTGCACAGGGAGAGTAAAATGGGGGCCCCTGCTTGCAGATCGGGTATACCGTGGGTTGCGCGTTTTTAAGTTTGTGTATTCATGTATGTCTGTATATATATACACGCATTTTGGTCCTGGCCAAAAAGATTGGGGTGTCGAAGACCCCCGCAACACGAAGACACCCCTAAATCCGACGTCAATCGTGGAAGGGGGGTCGAAGACCTCCAATTAAAATTTGCGCATTGCAGCAGGGGGATTACGCCAGGACCAACAGCTATATGTATATCTGGTGTGTGCGTATTCGCATATATGTATGCATGTGCATGCATCCCCCCTTCCCCTTTACCCTTGTCCTCCTATCCCTCCTCCCCCTCCTCCTCCCCCTCCTCCTGCCCCATCCGCCCCTCTCTCCCTCCTCCGACCCCTTCTCATCCTCCTCCGGGGTATGTGTGTGGATGAGGAGGATCGCTTCGTTCAGCTACTCGTGCAGATCAGCGCTTCTTCGCCGGGCGCAGAGATTTCACCCCAGCCTCACACTGGCGCAAGAGGTGTACCTGATTTTTTTGCTCCTTCTCCCGAACGCTCCGCATTTCGTGGCGCACTTCTGACCAGTTCGGGATGGCTCAGTGTTGCCGCGCGTGTACTGCCCCCCGAGGCGATTGTCTAAGGCACATCTTTGTTTGCTCACCTTTGGACATTTTCTTCTCATCCTTCCCCTCGTTCAGAACTTCTTCCAGCACAGTGGGTGGCATGATCCCGTCTGTGTTTGGCGTCGCTGTCCCATGCCTCCTTAGGATCTTGCCTCCGCAGCTCTAGCCCTTGAGTTGTATAGCAGAGCCTACCACGATTTAAATCACACCTCTATCACCCCAGCCCGGCTGCAGAAGGATGCCGAGGCTCTTTTGAAGATCGAATCCGCAACTAGTATGGTGGAGGGCCAGTGTCCTGATTTTCGGCATCTCCAAGGCCCCGACCAGGAAGGTCAAACGTATCATTAAATTGAATTAATAGTTTATGTTAGTTTTCCATTTCGGCGTTTTGATGTTCTCTGTCCGATATCGGAACCGTCCCCTTGAAGGGCGGCGGGTTTCATCGTATCCACTGTTGTGTTGTTTTGTTCTCTCTCTTCGGACCAACGTTCCTCCCTTGTCTGCCTTTCCCTTGCTGGCCAGTGTCGCTGTTCCGCCTCATCATTGTCACTCCTTGTCCTCGTCGCCGTCATCCTCGTCCTCATCGTCATCCTCGTCCTCATCGTCATCCACTTGCCCTTGCCATCTCGCCGTCATCCTCGTCCTCATCGTCGTCCTTGTCATCCTGGTTGTCGTCCTCGCTGCCCTCTCAGGGCGGGGGGCGCTTTTCTCACCCGCTGCGGCTGCCCGCCCCGCGGGAGGCGTCGACGCCAGAATCGCCAGCCGCTTCGACCAGATGCGCCGCTGCTTCCCGCGCCGGTTCAAGAACAGAACGCTGAACAAGGCTGGCGATGGATCGAGGCTCGAGGTGATCTGACCCGCTCTGTGATCCTTGGCTGCGTTCCAGCCTCACAGGTCGCCCCGCTTCCGCCCGCATTGGGGGGTTCGCCGAGGTTTCCCCGCGTCGCCGCCCGTGGCCTGCGTCGCCGCCCGTGGCCCCTGGAGGGGGTGGGCAACGACGACGACGAGGAGGAGGAGGGCGAGGAGCAGGGGAGGAGGAGAAAGAGGAGAAGGGGAGCAGAATCATGAGAGAGCACGCGAGTTGTAGCGTGCTCCGATGACCCGGGAGACAGCAGGGCCGCGGGCCGAGAAACCTGCGTTTCCTGCCAGAGTGAGTGCGTGCCAGATGCTCGGCACGCCACCACACAGGCACTCGGTGCGGCCGCGCCCCCGCTAGCCTCTGGCCAAGCTTGCTGGCCTGGTCGAGCGACACTGCACGGATGAGGTCCAGGTTGAGATCTACCAGCGGCGGGAGCACCAGCGGCTGGAGCGAGTCCACATTGGCTGGATGGCAGCCCCGTCGGGCTCGATCATAATGGATTTTGACGCCCGCACTGCTCGAGGGCGCAAGTGGCCTGCAGGGCCTCCGGACGGGGCTGGGACGAGGGTCGATCCGTTCCCGAGCGTCCTGGATCGCTCTCAGAGCGTTCCGGAACGCTCTGAGAAGGCCGCATCGCCCGAGACATTCTCCAGAGCCGTTGGATCTCGGAGATTCTCGATTTGTCCTCACCCGATGTTGTTTTCGTCCTGGCTTCGTCTTAGCAACTGGCCTGCGGGGCCTGGGCAGATCGCAGCACACCGACTCGGACGCACGGCAGACATCCCAGGCCTGCCGCATGTTTTGCACCACTCGACCACAGTCTCGTGCGCGAGGTGCTCGTCCGCGGCGGCGGGATCGCGGGGCAGAGAGAAAAGTGGCCTGAACGGTGGCGCCATGCCCGCCGGCCTCCAGCAGTGACCGCGAGGAGTGACGGAGGATGGAGAGAGGAAACAGAAGGGAGGGAGGGAGGGATAGAGGAAGGGATTGCTGAGGAGGCATGTGGGAGGAGGAGGAGGAGGAGGAAGAGGAGGCGGATGAAGAGAAGGAGGAAGAGGAGGGACCAGAGCAAACCAAAGATGCAACAACGATGCCTCCAGCAGGAACCGCGAGAAGAGAGGGAGAAGGTAGACAGCTTCTATCAATCGAACATAGGCATTGGCGTCTGGCCGTGCTCGTGTTCTCGAGAGGTGGGCTGGGTGGCGCGCATGCAAATTGCGCCACCAGCCACCCCGAACCCCGAGAGGGAGAGAGGAAAGAAGAGGGAGTGTGGGGGGGGGGAGGGAGGAAGGGATGGGCGAGGAGGCATGAGAGCAAGAGGGGGAGGGACCAGGGCAAACCCAGCATGCGTCAACGATGCTGCAACGCACCCCCCGCGTCCCAAATCCTTTTCTTCTAAGTCCATGTAAGCCTTCCCTGTCACTACAAGAAACGCTTGTTTGAAAGACAAGCACCCTATGAGCCTGCTATTCAAGCATTAGCCTCGTTTTGAAAAGAAATTGATGTTCGTCCTCCAAGTGGGTTGCACGAAACGCGGACAGACATGACCATATAGTTGAACGAGGTGTCCAGCGAGATCTCCGTTTTGAAAAATGGTCGCTTCCATCGGTGAAATTCTTGCAAAAGCTTACACGTCCCGCCATGGACTTCGAGGTCGTCCCAAGCAAGCGAGAAACCCATGTTAAAAAGGACTCACCCTCCACCCGTACAGTTGCTACAGATGTTCATGCGTTTGGCATGTAAGGTTTAACCGAGTTCATGCGAGAGGCCCCAGTGTGAAAAAGGAGCCGTCTTACATCGTCATATCTGATGCAAGCTTTTAGGACGACGGTGCGCGGTGCGAGGGCGAGTGCACCATGTTTTGAACGACTTGTGTTCCGCCCCTCATATTGCTGCAAACGTTTAAGATGAATGCGAGCGGGGAGAGCCCCATGTTGAAAAGATCTGTCCTCCATCCCTGAGTTCCAAATTGAATACGGCTATTGGGCTTGGTAGGCTATTGGGCAACGTATGCCCCCCAGCCGCTGTGGAGATCCTTGGGGGGACACCCGTGGGAGAAAGAAAGAGCAGGTGTAGAGGGAGGCCCATCCCGCCACCGTGCCTGGGTTGTGGACCAGAGGCCTCTTGAACGTGTAAGGTTCTCCTGGGATGCCTGTCGCAAGCCTCTCGGAGGGCTCTTGGGGGCTTCTTGTGAGCCTCTTGTGGGCCTCTTGGGGGCCTCTTGGGGGCCTGTGCGGGCCTCTTCGGGGCCTGCTGGTGGTCTCGGGGGTCATCTGGGAGCGGATGGCTCCAAGAGTCCGCTCGTGTTCCCCATCTTGGGCCCGTGGGGCCCTCCCGTCTTGGGGGCCTCCTGGGCCCTCTGTAACCGTCTGGGGGCCCTTCTTGGGGCCCTACTGAGACGTCCTTGGCAGTCTTAGAGCGCTGGCAAGCCGAAGAGGCAACAGCTTCCAAATCATCCAAGCCTTCCTTGGAAAACATAATTCGTTGCCTCTTTGGGCCCGTGTGAGGGTCCTCTTGGGGCACTCTCGGGATGTCTTCGAGGCATCCTGGGCCGTCCTGGAGTCCATCTTGGGCGTCTTGGACCGAAGTTGCCGACGGGTCCAAACTGGCCCGCGGGTGCCCCGACATGGAGTGAGAAAGCATCCTCCCCGGGGGCGGGTACTCTCTGGGATCCCACCGGCCCACGGCCCCCCCCCCCACCACCCCCTGGCGGGGACCTCCCAACAGGTAGTGGAGCAAAGGGAAAGGGCTTCTCTTCGACTCGAAGGGCGCCCGCCAAGACCACCCCTGGACGACCGGCCCAGATCTCCCCTCTCACCCACGCCGACAGGGTCGGCGGATTTTAGTTTCACATGTGCGCCGTCGGCTCTGGATTCGAAAAGGGCAGCGTTCAAACTCAGCGATTCGCCGGGCACGAGCCTCCCCCCCTCCCCCCGGCGACGGAACTCGAAGGCCACGGTCCCCGCAGCTCACGATTGGAATGGGCATGACCAGACATTGCTGGAACTGGCGAGGCAGATCTCAAAGATATCATTGCATCCGAGAAGCTGTGTTGGTCCAACATGATTGCCAACGTGGCTCTGGGATGCCCCGAGGAGGTCCCAAGATGGCTTTGAGGAGGCCCCGTTGCCATTTTGGCTAAAGCCCTGTCGGCTCAAGCTGGCCCAAGCGGACAGGTAGGCACTGCCCACGAGTTTCGGAAGTTCAGAAGGGGTGCAGGCCATGACGACGCGCCAGCCACAACCGCCAGGGGTGATCGCCGAAACCGCACCAATGAAAATGGGGATGGCCGCGGAGCCGAATGAGGAGCTGGCTTATTTGGAGGACACGCCAGCCTACAAAACGTTGAAGATGGCGGTATCCTCGTGACGAAGTTTCGGAAGCAGTGTTTCGAGTACATATTCGATGGTGTGGACCTCTCAGCGAAATCTTCCAAGTCCAACGACCTCTTGCAGAAGTGCATCTTTGGTTGCTTTGTGTGCCCGTGGGTTGGGTGCATCGTCTGCAAGGCTACCCACACCGAGTTCTTCGTGCCCGCCGGCTGCCTCGTGCTCCTGATGAACGAAAAGCAGGAGTACCTCTTCGCGCAGCCTGCCATGCACAACATCAGGGGGTGCTTCATGAGGCACTGCGGCACGCACAAGCTCCCCACGGACGACGCGCTCGTGCACGGGAGCAGGTGCATCCTGATGGTGGAGCAGGGTTTCCTGGGGCTTGCCTTCGACAACGGCCAACCCGTGCTGCTGCCGCTGGGCATACACGTCTGGACGTCCGATACACTGAGGTACAAGAGGGACATCTCTCTTGACGAGCACATGGTGTCGCTCGGGCCCTATACACTGATCACCGTGGACGAGGACTACGCAGCAACGACACAGAACAACGGGAAGTAACACATTCTTCCTGGCGGCGCCACACATGTGTTAACCCACACGAACTGGTGGCTTGAGAAGTTTATGACGTTAAAGATACAAACAGACGGCCTAGAGCAGTTCAAGGCCACCAGTGCAGATAACATCACCATGCAGGTGACGTCCACAGTCATTTGGTGCATCAAGAACCCGACGCTGGCTGCTAGAATGGGCGCCGTGACGATGGCGGTTTGATCCAAGCCACTCTCTTCTGATACCACGAAATTGCGTCAGGACGTGCTTAAAACAGCCATTGCGTCTTTGGCAAATTTCATCGGTGGCGTCAACTATTCCGAGAGTTTCCACATGGCCGCGAGTGTTCAGGGTAGAAAAGCACGTGCACCTGGCGGAAGCCAAGATGAGCCGGAGTTGGAAGAGAAGACGGGCAAGACCATGGACAATCCGCTGCACGACGTGAGCAGGATGAACGAAGCCGTGGCACACGCGAACATGACGGCCATGACGTACGGCGTGGACATACTGTCCATCAACATTCTGTCGGCGGTCCCGATTGACGTCGAGCTCACGAAGGCGCTGGCCTGCGGCGCGGTGGCGAGCGCCCAGGCTTTACATGCGGAAACGGCCGCCAGGAGCAACGCCAAGGCGACGAAGCTCGACGCGACGGCGACCGCGGACAAGGCGAAGATCGAGGCGGAGGGCCAGGCCCTGGCCGAGGTCATCCGTGCCAAGGCCACGGCAGAGTCCGCGCGCTTGGTGGCCGAGGGCAGCAAGGACGCAGCGAACATACTGTCCACGGCTTCGGTGGCCGTCAACTTGGCCAGGGTGGATAAGAGCTCGCAGCTCATCGGCAAGAACGACAAGTTCTTCTTCGGTCAGGAGCCCAGCTACCTGTCGAGCCTCGTCCTAAAGGGCGACCGCGCAAGCAGGGGTGCAAAGAGAGGCGTGTTTAGCTGTGTTGCGGGCCAGCGTCATGTCTCCTCGCATGGATGTATCTCGTTAGACCCCTTTCGCCCTTCACACGCTGAGGACGTGGTTCAGACCCAGCAGCAGTCGACACGTACTTTGACTGGTGGATTTCTGTGTTGCCCTCCTATCGTGCAACCTGTTGCCCCCTCCATGGGTCTGCGCAGCTTTAAGGTGCACTGCTAGTAGCCTTGCGGCCATTGTGAGCGGGCCTCCAGCATAATCGTGGACGGGAGCGACTCTGCCATGCTGGTATTCGTTGCTTTTCTGTCTGGGCAGTTGCTCGCTTGCCGCGACAGCTCCACAGCCAGCGCAGACCTTTGAAGAGAAAGCGCGCTCCCATGCGCCGTATTTTTGTCGTGTGTAACAGAAGCAGGTATTCGGCTCCGTGCCCAGCCAGGCTGAGCTCCTCATTGAGCGCTTAGCTGAACTGAATGATGCGCTGGCCCTTTCAATTCACGTCGGCAGCCACAGCTGACAGCGTCTTGCTGAACTGAATAGTGCGCAGGCACTTTCGATTCATGTCGGTGAGCTCGTCCGCAACCATGGCAGCCCCCTTTGCCTGTCGGTGAAGTGCCCAACGGCGGAAACCAATCAAAGAAGATTGCTCTGAGGTGGCCCCAGCGGCTTCCAGGAATTCCAGACGCTTCGCGTATCCCCACCAGCCAACAGGTCCGCCCCTGCCAACCTATCAGGTCCGCCCCTGCCAACCCGGTTGACGCTCGCATCTTGGTGCCCCCGTCCTTCGTGATGGATAAGCTGCCCGCGTTGTACGCCGACGACTTGGATGTCCCGCTTCTCACGGCGGGCGCCGCCACCGAGCTCTCGCTACTGCACAAGTGGTATATCCTTTGGCAGTGTCTCTCGGCCCTCCCGCAGGGTGGCCCGTGGTGCTCGACCACGCTTGCAGCTGTATCCCCCCGGCCTTCAGAGTCAGGCACTTGCAGGTTGTGGACTCCGAGACTGGGACGACGTCGCCATGCATAGGTCGTTCGCTTATGCCCGACTACTCCCAGGAGTCCATGTGAGTGAGGCGTTCCTCGGTTCCCCCCCTCTTCTGTCCTCGCGTGCTCTCGCGCCCGCCGCCTTTCCTCCCTCTTCGCCTCCTGTCGTGATGGACGGTGCGGCCTCTCTGGCCCTCCGTGCTGCCAAAGCGCTGCGTGACCCACGCCAGTTCGCGCTGGTCAGTACGGTTCGAGCTGGCGCCACTGTGCGACTCCTCCTCCGTCTGTTTCCTTCCGGTGCCTGCGTCCCCGCTCCTGGGTCGCCCGCATCTTAATCGGGGGCATTTTGCCCTTGGCACGTGCACTTGTTGCGTCGGCCTATGCGCCGCCGTAGCCATATCTCGCCTTGTGCCCCAGCCGAGACCACCCCGCTTCCTGGATCTGTCCTTGGAGCCGTCAATCAAAAAAAGAAACCCACCAGCCCGTCCAGAAATGAGTCCCAGGGGAGGGAGGAGGAGGAGGAGGAGGAGGAGGAGGAGGAGGAGGAGGAGGAGGAGGAGGAGGAGGAGGAGGAGGAGGAGGAGGAGGAGGAGGAGGAGGAGGAGGAGGAGGAGGGAGGAGGAGGAGGAGGAGGAGGAGGAGGAGGAGGAGGAGGAGGAGGAGGGGAGGAGGAGGAGGGAGGGGGGGAGGAGGGAGGAGGAGGAGGAGGAGGAGGAGGACAATGGCGAGCTTGGGGGCCTCTTGGGCCGTCTTTGGGGCCTCTTGGCGGTCCCGGGGGCCTCTTGCGTACCTCGGGCTCAACCTTTCTCGGTGCTGTTGCGGCTCTGGTTGCAATGCCACACCTGGCCCCAGCACCGTCTGCGTCGGCAGCGCACTGGCTGGCCCGTCACCCCCGCTCGATTGCACAGTTTCGAGCGGGGTGACGCCTCACCCCCTGCGTTTTCGCGCTCCCCAGGAAAAAAACTCTTGCGTACTTCGGGGAGCCGCTTGTGGCCTCTTGGGGGTCTCTTGGGAGCCTCTTGGAGGCCCCTTGGGTGCCTCTCGGGGCCTCTTGGGGCCCTCTTGGGGCGCGATTGGGGCGCTCTTGGGAGCCTTCGGGACGCTCTTGGGGCCATGTTGGAGGAGATCTATCAAACAAGGGGGGGGTCTTAATTAGCGCCGCCCCTCTAGAGTGCCTCGAATGGCCTCTTGGGCCCCTCGTGAGGACCTTGGAGCGCTCATGGGCGCTCTTGAGGCCGTCTTGGGGCTCTCTTGGGCCTCTCTTGGGGCCCTATTGGGCCATCTTGGGGCTGTGTTGAGGCCTCGAATGGCCATCGAAACCGAAAAAGCGAGAAACCCAAAAACATTGATTTTCCTTAGGTTGTGGCATGATCTTGGCCTCTTGGGGGGCTCCTTGGGGAGCTGTTTGGCCACTTTGGGCGGTCTTGGGGCGGTCTTGGGGTTTCCTGGAGCATAATCGGGGCCATACTGAGGCATCTTAGGGTATCTTGAGGCATCTTGGAGATCATCTTGGACTCTTGGAGCGCTCTTGGAGCCATCTTGGGCCATCTTGGACCTCCAAACGCGTCGCGAAACGCACCATCCAGGTCAGTGGGGAGGGGTATGGGGAGGGGTACACCCCTCCCCGACGGGAAAGAATGGGGGTTGGAAGAGGAAGCTCTCTAGACCACCGACGCCCTAAAGGGCTGGTGGGATACCCCCAAAAGGCCAATCGTAGTGAAGCAGTACGTGGATGTTTGACTCGGTTCTCTGTCTCGCCGTTTAGTTTTCGGATGGCCTATGAGGTCTCAAGATGGTCCGAAGAGGCCCCAGAAGGAGTTCCACCCACACACGCACACAACGACATACCCAAAAACAGTTCCAGGACTTCCCGAAAAAATGCTCCCAGTGGCGCTGAGAGGCCTCATCAGGGAAAGGAGCATCGAACGGTTCAGAAGATGCCCCCCAGACCTTCAGCTTGAGCATGGATGTTCGCACCTACCCCAAAGTTCCCCCTGAAGGGCCCCAAATAACGCAGGTTGCCCAACTTGAACCCCAACAGGCTCCCCGAGAAAGCTCCAAAGGGTTCCGCGAGGCCCTCTCAATCCGAAAGTAGGAGGCTACGCCCAACCGTGGTTCGTCATTCTCTCCGCGGTTGACCAGGGACGGCCGCCGTGCCACATTGCGAGCCACCTCCAGTACACAGGCAATGCGGGAGCGGTTGCGGCGTGGACCGCCCCGATTAAAGGCGTCAGTTCTTGCAGTCGATCCGCGGCCACGGAGCTGGCGCACCACAGCCCAGCTCAGCCTCTGCAAGTCAAGATCAGGCGAGATGACATGAGATGGCACGCGATGGACCAACATGGCTCTATATGGCCTGCACAATTGCTCCAGGAGGCCTCCACACCCCGACAAGACGGCCCGATGTGGCCATGAAGCCTTCCAAGGATGGCCCCGAGAGGCCAAGTACAGACAAGTCGCATGTTCCAGTGAGTTTAGCCTTGACGCTTCTTCTTTGTAGATGGATTCGCGTGGCCTCATGATGGGCCCCGCGATCGCCCAAGAGAGCCCAAAGACAGGCCCACGAGGCAAGATGGCCCCCAAGAGGACGCCAAGAGAGGCACGCCCAAGAGGACCCCAGACCATTCCAAATCTTGAGAAGGCCGTCGAGCGTCCTTGGCGCTCCACACCTCCCGAAGCAGGCCCAGGATAATTCTAAAGGCTCCAAGGCTTCCCAAGAGAGCCCCCAAAGTGCTGCAATGAAGCTCTCACGAGTCCCGAGAAGCCTCCCCCAAACCCTCGAATCCGAGGCTCCGCCAACAGCGGTGGGCCAGCGGCGGCTATCGCGCCAGACTGGCAGCCATATCCAGTCCAAAGGCCAAGGGGCAAGTGTTGCGACGTGGCCGTTCCAGCAGTGGGGAGCGAGAGGGGCTATACCCAGCAGTCATTGTAAGAAAAGACTTGATCCTCATGGGCTCCATATTCCGTTTGAGAATATCGAGAATCTGGACTTCGCCTTGGGCGTTCTCTTGGAGCTTTCCCCTTTGCGTAGAAGGTCAGTAGAGCTGCACTTGAACGAAGGTGTGGGAAAACGCTTGGAGTGAAGTCTATATTTTTGGCCCAAAACTTCACTAATTCTCAACAAGGGGAGCAAGGCCCTCCCCCCCTTGGGATGGCAAGCGCTGCAGCGAGGAGCTCGTGGGCACGCCTCCCCCGGCCCCCCTGGCCGCACAGCGGGGCCGGCGGGGCTCCTCGTGTCTGTGGCGGGCGGCGGGTCGATGCCGAGGCGCGGGGACGAGGAGGCCTCCCTCCCTCCATCCCCTTCCCCCTCCCCTTCCCTCCCCTCCCCTTCCCCTCCCCTTCCCTCCCCTCCCCTTCCCCTCCCCTCGCCTCCCCTCCTGCGCTCTCGCCGCCGCCCCTGCCGCCGCCGCTGCGGAGCCATGCCGGAGGCGCACCTGCCTATCATGCCTTTTCTCCCCGCGCGGGTCGCGCCAGAAAAGGGCCTCGCCGTCGGCGGGCCTCGCACTCGGCGGAAGCCGGCGGGAGCTCGGCAGAGGGCGGCGAAAGGAAAGGTGAGACGCGTCCAGGGTTCTGGGATCGGCAGTGTGGAGTACAGGTGGAGACCCATGCCAAGAAACACCCTGCTTGCCACCAGGGTGCCCTGGGTTTCTTGGGTTTCGATGGTTCTGCTGTGGGAAGCGTGACGCTCCCACGCCAAAAGTCCATGGACGTCCTGGGGTCTCAGGGTTGGGTTTCTTGTGGAAGGTTTCTTGTGGTCGGGCCTCCGCTGTAGGATGAGATGCATTCCAATGCCCACCAGATAACCTCAGTAGCTCGCGATGTACACTGCGTGCGGTTCGGTCGGCACGGCGAGGCTGTGGCACATGAGTGAGTCGCCGTGTTCTCTTCTCTTCCCTCTGCTTCCCTTGCAGCCGCAGTGGTTCAAGGTCATTCTTACGCAGGTCGCATCGCGGATCGAGGAACCTCGGTGTTGCGGATCCATATCGCGCCGTCAGCGATTGCGTGCCCAGGCGCCTGCCATTCCATGCACGGTGTCGTGTGGCTTTCCGCCCGGGTGTGGCCGCTGGCCACGACGTTTCACCAATTGGCTGAAGGGAAGGTGCCATACGCGCTGACGGTGGCCTCGCCCAGTATGATGGCGACCGTCCTTCAGAAGACGCATTGGTAGCTGCAGGTCCCTGCAGGCCTGATGGAATGCCTTCTCTTGTTTGGGACGCTCCCAGCCGATCGTTCCCATCAAGGCACGGGGTTCTACCGGGAAGAGGACGTACTCGCAAGATGGCCGGCTTGCCCAGAAGCCCTTGTTTCTACGGGTGCCTTCGCACATACAGCAGCGCTCAAGGTGCTCTTGCATATGCGAGCCCTTCCCATGTACGTCATGCAGTCGATGCGTTCTATTGCCCTGGTCTCCTCCGCTGCCTCGGCGGCATTCTGTCGAGCCCATTGCTCGCGGCTTGATTACCGAAAACTGCGCTGGCCAGGTGGCTCATGAAATAACCCAGGATCAGTCTGGAATAATTGTGGCAGGATGTGGGGGCGCGATGCGCGAATCTGCGGTGACGCGATGTGGAGGGGTCTTCGATTTAAGCTCGTGGGCACTGGGCTAAGGGAGATTGGCATTGAAGATCAGAGGGGTGAGCCGACGGAGAGACCAGGATGAATATGTCAAAGTCAAGTTTCCTGTTGCACAGGGGATCGGGATGTCGGCATTTTTCTCGATGGGCGGTCGAGGTGCATGTTTGACGATTCAGTTGGCGGGCTGGGAACAGAGGCATGTGGCTGTTTGCAACCACTGCCACGTTCCTCCAACTTCTTCAAGTGGTAGCGTACTCTCACTGTTCGACCGCCTTCGGCGAGTCACCGCCGCCACCTGCCTTCTTGAAAACGACTACTGGCAAGCGTTGGGTGCATGTCGCCGCAGCCGTTGTGGAAGCAGTTGAGGGAGCATGAGAGTTGATTGTCGTGTTTGGGAGGTCTCGGGGCCCCTCTTGGGCGCATGACGTCCCCAAGGCACCCCGCGAGGCCGCCAGGATTGCCCGAAAAAGCCCCGAGGGAGCTTTCATGAAGCCTGAGGGCCCACAACGGTTCAGAGGGCCCCAGTAGGGCCCAGCAGTCCCCATGAGGCTGGAATAATCGCACGAGAGACTTCGAAAGGGGGCCCAGAACGGACAACGGTAGGCCATACTGCATCAAGCATTTCACACGTGTGCAACAGGTCTTCTCGTTCTCGTTGTGCCGAGAGAGAGAAAGAGAGAGAGAGAGAGAGAGACCCTCGGCTCTTGGAGCGTGGATCTTGCCGCATGCGTCAGAGGGGTCGCGGCTCAACAGTGGATCCATGCTTGCCCACACAGTGTTTGCACTACGGTCTCATTACCTGTTCTGAGCAGGATTTCACGTCTCAGCTGCGACTGCCCGTCATTGCCGTGGCGCGTCCTGAGCGGTGATCTACGAAAAGTGCCCCATGATGCCCCGTGTGCTGTGATGTCTCTCTCTCTCTCTCTCTTTCGCTCTGGTGCTCTGTGGCTGGTGCTGTCTGGCTGGTAACATACGACCGGCGCCGCCCCAACATACGAATACGATGTGTGCGTCGCCCTTCCAGGGACGACGCGCGCGCGGAAAAATCTTATACATTCTTATCGTATAAGCTCTGTAGCGGACGCTTTCTGGTCATACCGCTTTGGAAACGAGATATACTACCAGGTGGTTGTATTCGACGTTGGGGCCAGTCGCACGCCTCCAAGGAGGACACATAGTACTGGTATGCCCTTGCGCGGCCCAATGGCCCAGCGATTGCGGTTCATCGTTCTTGCCCTCCGGCTGGTTGCTCGTGCCTGCTCTGGTGCCTTGTGGGTGGTGCCTTGCGGCCGGCGCGCCCTACGAGACACTCTGGGTTGCGAGTCCTCGTCGTCGCCCCCGTTGCCCCGTGCTGCCCCAAGTGCTGCGGGTTCTCGCCGTCGCCCCGGGAACCGATGGGGTGCCGCATTACAACCAAGACGTTGAAGTAAGAACCGATCTGGGTTCGAAAAGGGCTCGCTGCTCCTCAGGGCATCCTGTGGGTGTTCCTCTAGCCCTCCTCGTGCACCCAGGCGCTGCTGGCGCCCTAGACAGTGCTTCGTTCCTTATTTGGCGTTTCTTATTGCAGCAGCGCTTCTGCACGGCTTACGCCCTATGATTCCCCAAGCAGTGTTTGCATTCAGGGTTTCTTATTTGGTCCGAACGAGCCGAAGGAGTTCGATGTGTTGGTTGTTCGGCTCGCAGTTTTGCTTTGGTGCCTGATGGGGTAGTGCTCTGTGGCCAGGCCCCTTTGATGCCGATGATAGCGAGGGTGTTCGCATTTTTGCGTTGGTGTGTTATGGGCCGTGCTCTCTAGCAGGTGCCTTACGATGCACGTCATGGTTACGGTCATCGCGCTTTTGCCTTGGTGCTGCACGGGTGGTTACGACTGCCGCGTTTTCGCCCGGGTAACCTATGGATGGTGAGCTACGGCTAGCACTTTTGGGTGAGTCAGTGGTTGTGCGTTTCCCAGTCTTGCCTTCGCATCGTACGGGTGGCGCGCTATGCTTGGCGCCCTATGATGTACTCATGGTTGCGATGTTCTCGGTCTTGCCCCAGTGCCGTATGGATAGTGCACTCTGGTGCTTGGACCGTTGCACGTTACCATTATTGTCTTGGTGCCTGCTTGGTGGTGCTCTATAGCAGGTGCCGTACTGTGCCTTCACTGCTGCGATGCGGTCGTCCGTCTTCCGTGGTGCCGTATGGGTGTTGCGCTATGGGTGCCGTCCCCGCCGAGACACAGGACGGGGCACGGTAGTCAGTATCCCGTTGGGGGGAGGCGGGCGACCCGAGATACCCAGATCCGGGGAATGTGCAATCCCGCTTGCTCAGGCTCGGGGAATGTAACGCCCCACTTGAGGCCATATGGACCCGCGTGGACGCAGAACCACTCACGACTTCCGACCTGGAGAAGCTAACGAGTTCGGAGGTTTCAAGTTCTGAGTTCGTTCGGCAGCAAACCATTGACCGTCTCGATGCTGGAAGAGGCCCCGCAGAAGCCAGCACCGACGAGTGGAAGTGCCGCTCGGAGGCCTGCACCGCGCGCCCTCCTCGCCTCACAACGGGGGGCGGTCGGCGTCAAAGCACAGGCCTGGAGGATTCCGAGGCGCTCGGCCGTGGGAGTCTGCCTGCGGCGGCCTCCCGAAGGCGATGCTGTCCGTGCTCCTCCCGGACGTTGTGCCCACGACCGCGCGCACCCCGGGCGCTGCCGGGTACCGCACCGGGGAGCTGCAGGACGCGATGCTCTGCGCGAGGCTGGCGACGTCGTGGGGCAGGCGCGGGAGCCGTGCGCGGAGCCCGTGAAGGACACCGGGACCCAGCTGGAGCCCCCCACCTGGGTTTATGCACGAACGAAATGGGCACGGAAAGAATGGGCACAGTGCCCAACAGCAGTTCCTGTTCAGTTCGAACAGGACTCGCTGTCCACGCCGCCGCGGCCTGTGTCCATTTGAGACAGAAGGCCGCCTGCCCAACAGTGGTTGCTGTTGGTTTGGGACAGCATTTGTTGTTGGGCAGGGTACCTATTCTTTCCGTGCCCATTTCGGGCGTCCAAAGGGTTTCCATGTCAGAGGATGCGAAGTCCATACATAGCGCTCGGTCTGCGTACTGTTTTTTTTCCGTTTGGGCTTAGCCTCGCCTGGTAGGAGGCTAGGTCCACAGGGGGTAGGTAAGTCCATGTTGAATGGTCGGTCTCCATGTGGAATGACTCCGTTTCGACGCAGCCTCTCCTCATCATCCCTCTACCTGGCAGGCTCAGCCACGCGCAGAGAGAGAGGCTGGGGGGAGGGGGGAAGGCTTCATAGAAGCACCCCTGCCTCTCAGACGATGCGGTCCTTATCTATAGATGTAACGCTGGCGCCTTCTGAGAAGCAGCCTCCGTCTAAGAGGCCTCCCCCCCCCCTCAACCCCACTGTGCGCGCCGCCAAAAGGCACTCGCCCGTGGAGTTCTCGTCCTCAAGATCGCTGGCAGCATGATGGTGAACCTGGTGGCGCCAACACTTTACAATGGCGAAGATGGTAACGGTGCTGGTGCCACCGCAGTCATCAATGTTCTCTAGTTTGTTACTGTAGCCGTGTTCATCGCGGTGGCGCTGTTTCGCCTCTCGCCGGCCCTGGGCGACCTGACCGAGCGTCTCATGGAAGCGCGTTGCAATAATGCTGGACTCCATGTGCAGGTGCAGGCGATGGGGTCGATGCTGAAGCACGCAAACCAAGGGCGGGAATGGGGAATCAAAGTCAGCCAGGGCGTTGCCCTGAATAAGGACTTCTTGCAAGCTGTTTGCATCAGGGCGGCGCTGCTGACGACCGCAGCTGTCGCATTCCTTGGCTCACCGATGGACTGCTTCTCCTCCTCCTCCTCCTTCTCCCGCCTTGTCTTTGTTGCTCTCTCGTCGTCCTCCCGAGCCCCCCCCACTCCAGAGCGCCACAGTGCCCCCCACAAACCCGGAACCCATCGGCATCCCCAGGAGCCTCCCCTCCTTACTCGCTCCCTCCTGTCCTGCTCCTTCCCTCCTCGTCCTCCTCCGTGCCCCCCCTCTTCGCCCATTCCGAACCGATCGATCCGATTCGATGTTGATCTCGGCCAGCCCGACCCGATTCGAGTCCGACATCCCGAAGATCGTTTGTGGCCCAATGCTTGCATGTCTTTGATGTGTATCTTGGCGCGGCCGATCCGATTCGATTCCGACTCAGCGCCGAGGCAGCCCGGCCCGACGTGCATTTCGATCCGGTCCGATGTTCCGATTCGATTCTGACTGATCCTGCCCTCTGCTTCTTGGCTCCCGCCCATTCTGCTGTTCCTCGTCCGCCCTACCGTTGGATCCGCAGAGGTCTCGACCCATTCCCCGTGGCCGGCTGCTAGTCCCGAGCCGTTTTTTGACGGTCCTGGGGGCCATGCGAGGGCCCCAGGGGCCGAAAACGGCAGCACAATCCCGTCATGATTTTTCCTCGCGACGCGAGGGGATCTAGGCTTCTGCGCCCCCGCTCCTGCTGCTGTGCCTCGTCCGCCTGCTTTCTGGCAAGTCTCAGACGGGGCTAACGGACGAGGATGAATCCGCTCCAGCGCGTTCCCGAGCGCTCTCAGAGCGTTCCGGAACGCTCTGGGGAGGCCGCAACGCCCGAGGCCTCGTTTCCCCGCTCCTCCTCCCTGCCCTCTCCCATCCTCGCTCACCTCCGCCTAGTTGGCCTCCTCCTCCACATTCTTCTTCTCCTCCTCTTCCTCCTCCTCCTCCTCCTCCTCCTCCTCCTCCGCCTCCTCCTCCACCTTCTACTTCTTCTCCTTCTCCTCCTCGTCCTCCTCCCCCTCCTTATCACCTGACTGCCTGATGACAGAAATGTCACGCTGACGTTGCCATCCACCCCCCCCCCAGGGCTGGCCGGCCCTGGGGGGTGATGAAACTGAGAGCCAGGCGACTCCTGGAGTCGCTCCAGGAGCCGCTGGCTGGTGGGCAGAAGGTGTCGAGCGTAGGACGCTCCTCCCCCGACCGCTCCTCCCCCTGCCTTGGCATCGCTCGGACGTGTGCATTTTTCCTTCGGCGAGGGCCATCGGGGAGCATCCTTGATCACTTGGCGAAAAAACCACGCGCGAAACCGAACAAAACACAGGGAATGGACGTCCGAGCGATAGCGAGCCTGCCACTCCTGCTGCTCCTCCTCCGCCCGACCTTGAGCAAGCCCGCTCCCGCGCGGCGGCCACCGCCGCGCCGGGCGGTCGGGGCGAGCCGCCGCGCCGAGCTGCCGCCGCGCTACACCGCGCCCTGCGCGGGGCAGGCACTCCGTGAGCGGCGGGCCCGAACTGTAGAAAAGAGGTCCGTCAGTAGCGCAGCACATCTGGCTGGAGTCGCTGCAGTCGAAACTGATGGCAGGGATCGGGGTGATCTCGCAAGAGTGCCCTTGCATCCGTGCCTCTCTGGTCCATCCTTGACCACTTTCGGTGGCCCGCCGCACTCGAAGAAGCTTCAACACGGGCGTCCAAGGGGCTGGCTTCCTTACCGCGCATCCTTCTGAACTAGCAGTTTCGACTGTAGCGGTGGAGGTGGATCCTCGTGTTGGAGCTGGCTGGGAGTCTGAGGTGGCCAGGCATTGGCTTCTGGCAGGCAGGAAGGGAGGTGCCGGATCCGAGGTTCTGGGTTCGAGAAGGTCTCTTGCCCGCTCTGGTCTCCAGGGGCCGCTGTCGGGCACTGGGACAGTCAAACACTGATCCACGGTGAAAAACAGCAACAGAGGGACCCGAGGAGGGGTCCGGGGCGTCCGAGAGGGGGATGATGACTAGGGGAGGGGGATATCGCGGCCTCGGCCATGAGATCTTCCTGGATCTCAGGGTCCCGTCTTTTTTTTCACCACGTCTCTTGGCCCTCCCCCTGGGCCGCGCACGTGCCTCGGGCCATGATTTGCAAGCCCCCATCTTGGACGCCACCCTCTTGGACGCCCCTCATAGCGGTGGATGGGGATTGACTTGACTAGGGGGGGGGAGTGGCCTGCGTCCCGAGCGGAGAGACCATATCACGGGACTGGGGGGCCTTTGGAGGTTTCAAACATCGAGATAGCTCGGGAAGTCTGACAGGTAACATGCCATCAGCTGGCAGCGGCTACGTGAGAGGAGGATCGCACCGGGGTCCCCCAGAGGAGGAGGAGGAGGAGGAGGAGGAGGAGGAGGAGGAGGAGGAGGAGGAGGAGGGAGGAGTTGGCGCGCTCCTCCTCCTCCTCCTCCTCCTCCTCCTCCTCCTCCTCCTCCTCCTCCTCCTCCTCCTGGGTGAACATCCCAACCGCCAGAGAATGGTAAAGGCGGGAGCCGCGGGCAGCACTACGCCACACCTTCCAGAAGGCAGCGCCGACGAGAGGGATGACAGGCGCCCGTCAGCGTTTGCCGCTCGTTTTATATGGGGGCGAACGCATCAATGGGCTCAGAAACAACAGGGCGTGGAACTTGCCGCTGCTAGCGACAGGTTCCTGAACAGTCCCTGGCAGGACTCGCGAAGATCCCTCGGTGAGGAGGGGAAGCGGAAAGGTCATGGTGTCATTGATGTGTCCGCCCTCTCTCACATGTAGTCCAGCAAGAGTGACTTCTCCAATTGATGAAACATGCAAGCTGTGCCCCGACGAACGCGCGGGCCCATGGCCACGCAAGGGAGGGACAATGAGGAGGTGGGGGTAAGAGGGGAGGGCGGCGAAGCAGGAGGAGGAGAAGGGGAAAAGGAGGAGGGACAGGAGGGAAATGATCCATTGGTTCAGACATGTGTTCATCTTCAGAAAAAGGGGCTCCCCATGGGGAGCCTCCTGTGTCTCGCAACTGGGCTCCTGGGTTCCGTTGTACTGGTAGTCCATGGTCTGGAGAACATCCAAAGCCCCGAAATATGTCAGGAATATCCTTTTAGAAGTGTTGAGGGGCCCAGGGGTCCTGCACGCAGATAGCCACGGTCCTCTTCTCATAACACCTTGCGCCCTGGCGGCCTTATGTTGGGAGGCTTCAAGGCCCTCACCTCATCCAGGACCTTTTGGTGCTCTGGGTCAACGTGGCATCCCACGGTGATCAGACAGCTCGGGCTCCCATAGGTTAGGTGGTCCGTGCTGAGCTCCACATTGCTAAGCTTGATCAAGCAAACTGGACAAGTACTGCAGTGAATCAAACTACCAGACAAGGATCGTTGCCGATGGTGGATCCGAGCAATGTGTTCCTTGACTGCCGCCCTGATGGGCGACGCAAAAGGTTAGAACGGGCAGCGATACGGAAGAGGAACAGGTGCCGGCCGCAGGGCAGGATCTGGTGGCACACCGAAGCGAACAATATGTTGCAAAAACGCCCGCGTCTTTCTCTGGACGTCTTCGTTACGAAAACGCCACCTAGTGTGAGCATCGATCCCCGATTTAACCACGGGAACCCAATGCGTGCCGTTACTCGTGACTTCCACCCCCCAGGTTTTTGGAGCCCGTAACCATCTTGGCTCGAGGTAACCGTTCTCGCTCAGATTGATGTTGAGCTTGGTCGTGCGAGCTTCATAACGGCGCTGCACGGCCGAGCCTTTCTTGGCTTCGTCCCACAGCCTACTGTTTGCAGGTGGCGCCTGCACAGTTCATCCCACAGTACGCAGGTGACGCCTGCGCTCGTTCCAATCATTCTTCATTCTTCAGGTTCCCAGCCATGGCGCAGCCTCAAGCGGCTTCTCCTGCTGGCGGTGGTGGTGGCGGTTACATGTCTCGGTGAAGGCGCGCAGCTGGTGCCAGGCACTCACTTCCGCTTCCTCTTGCCGCGGGCCTCCAACACGGCGGCTTTGTTGGAGGCAACAGGCAGGAAGGACTCAAAGATCGTTGGTTATGTGGGGCCTGCGGTTGTCGGAGGAACTTGTGGTCGTGGTCCTGGTGCAAAAATTTCCGCGCGCCTTGGGATTACAAGTCCAGCTATTGGAACGAACCAGTCAACAAGAAGGCCCCCGCCACCCCTGCCACAGGCAACGGCCAGCCGCCGTCAACCGGCACGTTGCAGGGGATCTCGCTTGACGAGATCGAGCAGGTTGCGTTGCTGCTGGAGACAGGTGGAGACACGTCATCGGTTATGCGCTATATATAGGAAGGAGGCAGAGGCAAGACGCGCTCCTGCTCCTGAAGCACCGCTGCAGTTCCAGGTCAATGTCGCTCACTCTACGTTACGGCAGCTGGAGAAGCGTCTCCTCGCGTCTGCCACCAAGTGCGAGGAGCACGCTAAAGCTCTCGAAGTACAGCGTGTGGACCTGGGCAAGCTGCGAGACGAGCTGGTACAGGCTGAAGCCCACCAGAGGAAGCTCGCCTTGGCCCGGGCAGCAGAGCATGGCGCTGGTGCTGCGACATCGAAAAACCCCACCCAATGGGTCAAAGACATACTGGACGGAAAGCTGGAAAAGGCTTTCACACTGGATGTGGACTTCCTCTCGCCGTTCGAAGCCGAGCACGAGCTTGGCAGCTTGGCCCCACAGATCGAGAGGAGTTGTCCCGTCGCTCCAACTTGTTGGCCGACGGCATCAGGGCGACGCGTGCCGAGCTCTTCCAGCGCGCCGAGGAGTCTACGGACAAGCTCCGCGAGGAGCACGCTGCGCACACCAGTCGCAGCAGAGAGAACAAACGCCAGCGCGTCGAGGAGGTGAAAACAGGGGCCGCTCGGTCCATAGGCGTCGGCCAAGGCGTAGGCGACGCTGCGCCAGTCACGCCTCCCCCCACAGCCACTGCAGCAGCTTCTTCTGGCGACGCTGGCCAGGCGCCAGCGCCAGACGAGGAGGCAGAGGCGACCAAGCGACGTGCGGACGTCATTCTTGGCAGCCCCCCCTCAGCCCCCCTCCCGCCTCCGCCAAGGTCTGAGCGAGGCGCGTGTGCGTGTGTAGACGCGCGTGAACGCGCGTGCGTGAATGTGTGAAAGTGCGCGTGCGCGGGGGGGGGTCTTTTCAGGCAAGTCTAACGTGATCTCCTCGGCTCATCGGCCTCGCCTCCGTCGTGCCATTCGCGTCTCCTGCGATATCGGTGCTCCGGGCTGCGGCGGCCCGATGGCCGCCGCCCGTCGCGCGTCGCGGGGGACTCGACGGCTTTTCTAGGCGAGGAGTTGGGCCGAGACACCTTGCACGCGCACCCTTCCAAGCCTGCCAGTCTTGTCGAGTCACTAGCCGCCTGCCCTGTCCTCGCGGCCCCTGGCCCTCAACGCCCCGTCGTGGTGGCGCCTGGCCCCGGGGTGATCTCAGGCCCCGCTTCCATCCTCTTTCTCCCCTCCTGGTTCCCCGCAGTCGGATGGGGGTCTCAGCTCAACTGTTCTTGTCGCGCGAACGCTCAACTGCAACAGTTGGGGCACTTTACAGAAGATCTCACCCTGCGCGCCTGCCCCAGCGGCATTCAGTAGCATCCTCTCGCCGACCGCGAGTCGATTCATACTTCGTCCTCGCGGCGTGCTCGCAACGTTTGGAAGTCTCTGTGGACGTCGGCAGTCGCGGCGCCCAGCGGCGCCTCGGGGGGCGCCGCTGTGTTGGCGAAGAGATGGCTCGGGCTCGGCCCCCCCCGCCCCCTTCCGCAGGGGCACTCTGCGATGACTGGTGGGGTCGCGCATGCGGTCGCTCAAATTCCTAAAGGGGGGGGGGTCAGCCTCAATGCGTTTTCCATTTATCTTCACGTTTCAGAGGTTTATCCGAGAGGAATGCGGGGATCCCCAGCAAGATAGGGGAACGAGCGGTCATTTGCGGGACCACTTGTGCCATCGGCGGCGGTTCCAATGCCCCCCCCCCCCCAGGGGGCAGTATAGACAGGAAGTTCGTCAGTGACTTGCATGGCCAGATGATTCACCCTCTTGGCCGCGCTCATTTTGGCTCTGGCGCCCTCTTCCGCTCTCGACTTCCACGCGCGCGCTGGTGGTCTGGGCGCAGATGTTGATTTTTGCCAGATCCATCCGCTGACCGAGCTCAGCCCCCATCGCCCCGTGGACCTGGTCTCCCACAGGTCGCCCGCGAGTGTGACAGCCTTCAGTTTTAGGACCCCCCCCTTTGCCAAGAGAAAGAATGGTCGGCCCGATGCGACCCCCTCCATGTTGGGACCATGTAATCACTCATGCCCAGGCTGGTTGGACGCTGTCGCTGCAGGTGGTGCAGGGGCTGCTCTTACTCGCTTGTCTCCTGGCTATGCGGCGCGGGCTGGCAGGGCCGAAGCCGAGTTGGCGCGCGCGCAGGGGCGGACTTGGCGAAGATGGGGGAGTCAAGGGCTTCAGCTGGTGTGGAGGTGCTTAGTTGGGAGGGGTAGTCAACCGAGGTGCCCCGAGCATCGGGCCACCCGTTGACTC